TCTCTCTCTCTCTCTCTCTCTCTCTCTCTCTCTCTCTCTCTCTCTCTCTCTCTCTCTCTCTTTATCTCTCTCTCCTTCTGTTTCCTTCCACTTCTCCCAGCCCCCTTTTCTGTGTATGTGACAGGCAAATTTTAATGAACTTGCCTCAGCTCTCTAGTTTCACAAACACCAACATTATCACTGAACTCTTCATTTCTTTGATTAGATACAATGGGAATACTCCAGGAAAGTTGCTTTGCTTTCCCAAAGTATATCCAAAATGTTAAAAATTTGACAACACACAGTAATCCTTTTGAATGTAGGCTACTATTCATGAGTAGAGTAAAAGTGTAAGCTGCTAACATCTGCTAATGTTGTTATCGATCCAGATTGATTAAGTTTTCCCACATTCGAAATTCTTTGATTTTGTGCATGAACTAACTAAGAAGACCACATTTTAACTTCCATTTCAATCATTGCACAAAATGTAACCTGATACAATATAGGCCTACGGTTTACTCTAATCATGAAAGACAATAATGATCTAGATAGTATGTTTTTTGTTTGTGGATATTTCCAACAAACCCTATCAACCTTATAAACCCACAAGGACATGAGTTCTTGCCTGAGTGTGGTTACATTTATCCTTCTAAGCACCGAACACATAGGTCAATCTAGCAATCAATTTGAAGGAGCTCTGGTGCATTAGTTCTTTAAGCTCAAGGAAGCAGGGTTCAAGGGGTCAAGTTGGCTCTATGTTTCAGTTAAAAAAAAAAAAATGTTATGTTCATGCACTTGGCTGTCAAGCCATGGAATTATTTGTTTAGAGTGAGAACTGAAAAAATATGTAGTTTTTCACGAACTTCAACGTGACTTTTTCCTGAGAGACGAGAGCTCTGAGACTGAAGTTTTTTCCGTTCAAATACACTCCTAGTATTTTCAGATAAGCTTACCACCCTGTAACTTCAAATGCCACATTGTAAGACAAAATACCAAATTGTAACTTCAAATGTACAATAAGCAGATTTTCATTATGACGTCATGAACACGCAATTTTTACTTTCAAATGTGACTTCGGTTTTGAGTTAAAATATCACATTGTAACTTCAAATGTGCTCTAAATTCTGTTTGGTCTCTAAACACTTCTTACACGAGGACACCATATTGAAGTGAAGCTTAAATTGAAAGTCAAACTCTAGAGGAGATCCAGAGATCCAAACCCTTGAACAATTGGCGAAGCTTAAATTGAAGAACAAACTCTAGAGGAGATCTAGAGATCTAAACCCTTGAAAAATTGCCAAATTGCCAGTCCATTATTCAAAGATTATTCGAGAAGACAAAAAACATTTTATGAATATTATGAGTGAGTTAAGGATTTCATGGTGCTTGCCTTCAAATTCATGCAGGCCCATTTTCCTGTGTGTTTCAGAAAGGAACATGTATTATCATGAAAATGTTCAGAGCATTAAACTTTTTAAAATCATAGACTGTCAGGCCTTCTCCCCTTTTGCATCTAACTCCTTCCTGTTTTATATGGCATTACATTTGAAGTTGTCATGTGGCATTTGAGTAGTGACTTTGCTACATTTGAAGTATACATGTTCACCTTTGAACAATCAATGTTTACATAAGAAGGATACTATGTACCATTTGAAATTGCAATGTGGCATTCGAAGTTCAAGCGTGGCAATCGAAATTGCAATGTGACATTTGAAAACACTAGGTGTGTATCTGATCTAAAAAAAAACAACAACAGTATTATTGATTTTCAACCTAATTCATCTAGAATTTCTGGGTGCTAGAGTCTTAGCTCCAAAAACTGTGAAAAAAGAGTGGCGTCGGTGGCTCTCGGACTCGCAACCGTAAGGTCGTGGGTTCGAATCCCGTCAGGGACCCGACGTTGTGTCCTTGGGAAAGGCACTTTACTGTGACTTTACACTAATTTTCCTCACTTCACCCAGGTGGGAATGGGTACCCGGCTATAGACAGCGAAAGATCTTGTCAGTATGTTAGTGTTTGAGCGCTGAATCAGCTGCTTGCACTGTATGCTTCCCGGGAAGCTGAGAATGTTTCGGAGTGTTCTATGGTCTGCTGGGGTAATAATATAGTGTAAAGTGCATAGAGCCTGCTGTTGAGCGGGGATTTGCGCTATACAAATGCTATCTATTATTATTATTATTATATTCACGTTGTCAGTATGACTTTCACTTACAGATCAATAACCAATGTCAAATTATGTAACAAGGGCAAGGGTGTCTTCAATTTGACTTGAAAAGACATAAGAGATGAAGGAAAAGGAGGGAGGGATCGTAGCCCAAGTATTGGAAATAAAGAAGATGAGCTGAAAACAAAAGAAGACAAGGGGTTTAGATCTCTACATGTAAGCAAGTGTGCCTTCGCATCATATACATTTTAGTGTGTGCACATCAGTACAGTAGAACACGGCTATAGCGGGACTTTGGGTTCCAGAAGAAAAATCCCGCTGTAGGCGAGTTTCCGCTATAGGAATGCAAAGGGGAAATTACCCGAAATTTTATAAAAATCCACATGATTACCTCCCTTCCATATCAATAAAATTATTTGCGCTTTAGATTAGTCTTTCTTTTATAGTCAACTTGGTTGATTATCTCGGCCTTTAATTCGAGTAAGAAGCATTTCCTTTTGTCTTTATTGGAAGTCATCTTTTCCTCGGTCTTGTTGCTTGTGCTGTCTATCGTACCAGTAATCCTACTGTAGAATTGGTGAAGTGGATGCGTGCGTATGCCTATGAGCATCAACAAACGCAATACAATGAATCAGGAATAACACAGTACATGCTCTACTCTTCTTTTACTTTTTGGCTTAGCCTAAGCCTAGGGCTATGGCCTATACACTCTCATACTGAGCGTCTAAGCTATGCACATCATTTTTGGAGTGGCTCAAGTAATGCGTCTCTCCGCACCATCTCTCTCTGCCGCCTACCCCACTTCACTAATCACTGGACTGGCCAATCACAACGCCGCACTGCAGACTGCCTGTTTGGAGCCCACCTACAGCCCCCCAAAACCCTTCCCCCCAGCTAGAGCTCGCCCGATCTCTCCCACTGTACGTGAGTTTGGGCCTTCCCTTGCCCCGCTAAACCCGGGCACAGGTAATTGAGTTAACATTGAAAAAAAACGGGAATCCTGATAAGGTCCCGTTGTAGGGATGGTCCTGCTGTAGCTGGTGCCGCTGTAGTCGTGTTCTACTGTATTTTCTTTTGGTAATCCTCATAGTTTGGTATGTCCACAGAGAAACAATAAGACTTTAATCAATTAGGCCAAAAAGCACTTAACTCCAACACTATGACACTGACACATCATGGCAGGACCTTCATTGTTGGTGGCCTTGGTGGTCAAGCTCTCGGACTCGTAACCATAAGGTCGTGGGTTCGAATCCCGTAAGGGGCCTGACGTTGTGTCCTTGGGAAAGGCACTTTACATGAATTTTCCTTAATTCACCCAGGTGGGAATGGGTGTCCAGCTATAGACCGTGAAAGACCTTGCCAGTTTGTCAGTGTATGAGCACTTAATCAACTGCTTGTACTGTATGCTTCCCAGGAAGGTGAGAATATTTCTGATTGTTCTATGGTCTGCTGGGCTAATAATATAGTGTAAAGCACATAGAGCTTGCTGTTGAGCAGGGGTATGCGCTATGCAAATGCTATTTTTTATTTATTATTATTATTATTGTCTACATATAATTCAAGTGAAGCTTCTCTGCTTCATAAACAACTAAATGAGAGTCCGACCACTGATGCTTCTAGTGATCATTACATTTTTTTAAAGCTACGAGTCTTCTCCAAAAGCTGAAGACATTTAATTGTAACATATTTTGCTCTTTTCTGTTTTGTGCAAAGACAAGGTTCGACCGATGAAAACAAATGGATGTAACAGTGCAATCTCAGTAAAGTAATAAGGTATGTGAATAGAGTTCAACATCTTTTCAGTCCCACATAATAACCATAACAGCTGAGAAACCATCTTGAAATGTATGGTCTTTGTTTTAAGTATAAAACTTCTTGTCTACACGATAAGTCCTACTTTCTAGTTAATCATACTTCAATAGACCTAATCTATCACAATATAAAAAGATAAAAAAGCTGACCTTGGTACCCATGCTCCCCCATTGGCTGGCCCTGAGTGTGTGTTGAACAATCGAGCTTGATGAGCTTCAAATGCAACGCTTTGCGAAGTCGAGGATGAAAACTGGTCATTTCCAGCTACGTCTGGGCTGAACATTCCCAACAGTTCATCACACACTGCAGGAGAGGAGTAGATAATATTAGTTAGAATTTTTGCTGGTAATTTATTTGTTTAGAAATTCTCTTAAAATTTTTCCCCCATGGTCAGCGATTCAAATAGGTCTGCTAGATAGGGAATACCCATTTGGAAGCCTTTCCTATCACAGCATTTTTAGAATATGTAAAGGTTTCACAGAGTTGTTCAAAATATATACAAATCTTTCACTAACCTAGAGAGTACTGAAAAGCACTCTCATAAGAATATTTTAAGAAATTCAGTATGACCATGAAATAAGGGTAGTACAAAGAAAACGAAAAGAAGAAATCATCTTGCTATCAGTTTCTTTAATTATTGTTTCAATAAAAACAAACAAAGCACACAAAATATCCACTAAAATGGAGTAAAGTATGTCGGATGAATGCTTCAAGACTCTAGACGTCTTGTTCTCCTGCAGTCATAGGGTACTGCTTGTCTCCATCATCGTCTCTTTCTGACTATACCTTTGGGGGTAACGTTTATGGGGGTTGTGCTTGCTGATGCTCCAGCTGTGGTTCTCACTGCTTCAGCTGTTGTTGGACCAATTGGAAGCCCTGGTGTTTTGGAGCCAGGAGGTATGGGTTCACACTGGCCAAATGCAATATGTTCCAGCTGGCCATTGCGACATAAGCTGAAAAGAGGATTTAACATCTGTAATGTGTAAATTTTCTATCGTGCTTTGTCTTATCTGTCTCTTAGTTTATTTTGTTTTTGTCTGCATTCCTCATATATCCATATATTCTCTCTCTCTCTCTCTCTCTCTCTCTCCCTCTCCCTCTCTCTCACACACACACACACACACACACACACAAACACACATACACACATACACATACACACCCACACGCAATTACTCTTTCTATCCAATTCACACACTCTCACACATACTCTCTGTCTCTCCCTCTCCCTCACCCCCCCCCCCCCCACCCCATTCCTTCCCCCCCATTCTCCCCTCAGCAATCATTATTGTTAAGATAGGCACAATGACTTCATGAATCAAAGTGTAGTTCCAAATATTACTGAACCTACATTCTTTTTCTTTCAAATTGCTCTAAAATTCACTTTGATGTTGTGGGAGAAATATGTGAGCTATAAACTAAAGTACTTACTTACTTAGGCCAGTGGTCCCGTCTGGGACATAGGCCGCCCATAAAAGCTCTCCACCAGTCCCGACCCTGAGCCAATTTCTAGTTTCTCCAGCAGTCCCTGTATGATATGCCCCAGTCCCCTTGTGTCCTTTGCCACCTCTTCATGCCATGTGTTAAACTAAAGCACTATCCCAGAAAAGACAAGACAGAAACTATTAATTACTTACCAGATTTCACACTCTGTTCTGCAAACACTGTCATCTTCCACGTTTTCCCCTTCTCTGTACTTCTTTCCATTTATTTCACAAGCAGTGGTGTCACACAGTGCCTCAGGGATGCAGGTAATGGGTTCAACCAATGAATCATAAACCTGAAATGAAAAATTTATAGAAGACACTTTCCATTATCATTAGAATCTGTATACTAAAACTGAGCACAACAAAAAATACAAAAACCCCACATTTCTTTTACATTTTATTTGACTCCCTCTTATTAGCAAAAGAATCATCCACTTTAGTGTCATTTGCCAGTTGGTGTCATCATAACATCCCACTTTCTCAAATCAGGAGGTACATCAACAGATACACACCTGCCCTGGGGGACATGGATGGAGGTCACAGCCTTCAAAGCAAAGTCCTTGGGTGTCCTCACAGTCTTTCTGAATTTGGCTGTACACAAGACGATTTTCACATGTTTTCTTCGGGCACATAGAAATACAAGGATTGTAGGTCTCACAGTCTTCACACTGAATAGCTGAAAAGGAAAAAAGACAAACCATCATAAGAACAGCAAATTTAGAAAAGAACTTTCTATAAACCAATTGGGAAAAAACATATTCTGAACTTTTAATTACAGGAGTCCTATTAGTTTAATTTTGATTAAATATAATGCTCCTGTTTTACATATATCTATTTTAGAGACAGCACCTGTACTGTTTTCATCTGCATGCAATAACAAAGATATCAGAATGCCTAAAATCTCGACAGAAAAAAAATTGTGTAGGAGCTGCAGGGAACAAACCCCAAGACATCTGTATTTATAGACAAGTACCTCAAACAACTACAAAACACCAAGCCTATGACTGTTTAACAGGATAACTACAAATACAACTATTCAAAGACTGATGAACATTTATTTGTCCTATATGTAAAAAAGGGGGGTGCTTATTTAGGTCACATATATGGCCTAAATCAGCAACCCCAAACCTCCACCTAACCTTATTTAGACCACAAATCTGTCCGCCCCGGTCATAATCAGTTGTAAGCTGAATGTGCTATTTGGCGCTACGAGGGTCGAAAGGCAAAAAAGTGACATTCCATGAGTTTTTTGTTTATTTGGATCTATTGAAAGTTTAATGTCTTCTACTTCATTTAAGATAAAAATAAACTACTATAATCGACTATAAATATTTTATTTTTATTTATTTTGGAGGCGTGTGTGTGGCTTGTAAAATTATATTTATAGAACAATTACCTAATGGCCACATTGCTTGAACGTCCTTCATTCGCCCCTATTTTTAGATTTAGACCCCTTTTCGAGCATGAATGGTTTGAAATATAAATGACTTAGCGTCACTATGAACGACCCATGAGGGCTCTGATTGGTCAAACGGGGTAAGAACGGTAACTCCTAGCCCATTTCAAGCTTGTTTACGTAAACAGCTGACTGTGTAAGCGTGCCCCGCTAGCTCAGTTATGGGCTGTTAATCTTTCAGTTTTACACTTCAAATGACTTTAAAAGTTAGTTTTTATTGTGTTCTACGATCTTCCTCTAAATCTCCCAAGGTGGACTCCTTACCAAAAGGCCACTGAGGCCGTCTAAGTGCATGTGTGTGTGTGTGTGTGTGTGTGTGTGTTTGTGAATCTGTGTGTGTATGTGTGTATCGGGAATGCATGTGTGAGTGTATATGTGAGTGTGCTCATGTGTTTATAGTGCTAATGCAAAAGTATAACTAGGAAGCGTAAACTCGGCACTTAAGGCAACTTGCGGACTTCCGAGCGCGTGGTTTCGGTGAAATCGAGGTAATTCAGATCGCTTTTTCTTTGCTCTTTCGCTGTAACACACCAAATGCTGTACACCTTGAAAAAGTTACGCTTTTTTTGTTACAATAGCATAATTTGTATATTTTTCCGAGTACATGTATTTGAAGCTAGAGAATTGCTGTGGAAAGCGAAGCCCCATTGCAGTTGTATTGCGAGGTCTGCCGGTTCAAAAATTGACACCCATGCATTCGAATGCTTTGAAGAAAGAGTGATGATTAAATACTGTCTTTTCATTGGCAAACAACTTCTTTAAAGTTTTGAACGGGGCTTTCCGTGGTATATTTTTGGCCTTTGGCGTTTAAATAGGAAGTCTTTAAAAAGCGTACAAGTTTTGAAAGATCAATTTTAACACAAATTAAGTAAAATACAGACTATAAAAGATACCAATAGAAAGAACAGTTCTTTTTCCATTAGAATAAAGTCATCCGCTTGGAATTATTTTGCATCAATCCTTTCGCGAAACTCCGGGGAGCACTCAGTACACTTCAGTTAGAGCCATCTTGCTCGCCGCGGGGACCGGTGCGGCGCCGGCCAAGACAACGCTCGATGTTTTTTTAAATCGAAATAACGACAGAGAATCGTATTTGAGGCAATAAAATACTGATTTGTAATGATCTCACAGTCATGAAAAAAAATTAGGCTCCATTTCTACGTTATAGTAGTTGTACTATGTTAGGGTGGAGATGTTTGGTGCACTTGATACTCTGTTCTTATCTGTCAAACATAGCATTGCAGCCAGTTAGCGAATTTAGCAATATTCGATTATATACTAAATTAAAACAACTGCCATTTTTTTAAAAAGTGACTGAGAGGTAAAAGCATGGTACTAAAATTCACAGGAGACACAGGCCTTTCATATGGAGCAGATAAATTTGACATGCAGCTACTTTGAAAATTTAGTTTCTGGTACCTAGAAGGGCCTACAATGCCACCCCGTCGTTGCATTTGACGTGAAGACCATTCAAGTAATAATGTTGTTTTGTCCATAAGAGTTTTTAAAGTGAATGAATAGTTTTCTACTTCCGTGTCTTACCTTGTAGTGGCATAGCCAAGGTAACTTTTAAATTTCAAGTCTCTATCTTAATTCTAAGACCCCCGTTGCTGTGGAAACATGTTGCTCAACTTCGGAGCCTGTTTTCTCCTTTTCGTGTTTCCACACCTTGCATACATAAAAGTTCAATATTTTCATCAAATATTGTCCTATTTACTAGATTTTTTTTCCAAATTGCAGTGAAACGGTAATTTTTTTTGTTGAAATTGTGTTAACTAAATTTTGAACTTTCCTTCATATGACTGATTTTGACTGGGAGAGTCACATATGGCCTTAATCCCCCCCCCCTCCCACCCCTAACCTTATTTAGACCACATATAGTCTGAATGACTCCCCCCCCCCCACCTAACCTTATTCAGGCTATCCTTTTCAAGACACTACAAACTCTTACCACACAAATCATTGCTTCTCCAATTGATGGGAACTCCGTTGACAGCACATTCATGAGCATATGCTGCAATGGCTGTGCAAAGGCATTCACAGTCACCCCCGAAGTCACATGCGCAGGCATCATATTCACATCTGAAAAGGAAATCAGCCAAAAAGTGTAATAGAGACGCATTCTGACAACATTTTGTGAGGCTCGCAATAATGGTCACTATTAGAGTAAAAATGTAAAAGCTATAAAAGTGAAAAAGAAAAGACCTGGATTTGTTAAACAAAGAATTAGTCAAGAACAACCTACATCAATACAATAAAACTATGTTGTCCTTATAAATTTCAAAGCTTTCATCAGAAGACCACACATGGGGAAAGGGACTTTGTAGAAGCACAAGAGGACTTTTGTTTCAGATACATTTTTGACACACTATTCACTTATATCAAAAGAGGACTCGGTGGCTCAATAGGACATCTCAGCTTTCTATTGAATGGCTTGATTGAAACACTTGCTATCCATGTATTTTCAATTTTATAACGTAAGTATCTTGACAACATGAAGGTCTACTTAGCATACTTGGTTTTACAAAAGTCTTGAATCACTGGCTTACAAGAGCAACACACTCATAAAAGGTTGTAGAGAAAGGTTCTCGTACAAATAGATGAACAAAAAATAAGTAACGTTTCTCTATAATTTTATAGAGTTTAAAAATCTCTAAAACTATGTGCGTTCCTTATATTACTACTGCCAATATCTTGGGAAAAAAACAACTTGAAAACCAGGTGCATTCAGAATGATATTACAGGTGATGGATTTCGAATATATAACTATCAAGGTCCACCAAAACATACCTTTTCACAAACTGTGTTTGATCGACAAAACTGTGACAAGGCTCAAACAAATCAGAGTTCATCACAGAGCATTTTGCTTGAGCCCAAGCTTTCCTTTGTGGAGAACTTTGACAAGTATCTTGAATTTCTTGTGAGGGTGCACATGAAGATTGCACTTTCCAGCTGTCTCCGAACTCAGTGGCTTTGACTACGGGAGGACCTCCTTGCCTCAGTGTGAAGTCATCTGTCTGGTCAAAGTTGAAATTACCACACAGACCCTCAACCTGGAAGAGAAATGGAATTAATCACCACAATGTAAGTTGAGAATTTTCATATCTCTCTCCCTTTTCATCCAATCCAACGCAGTGTATTTTTCCACGTCCTCTCTCCAATTTTGGAAAAATTTTGGAAAATTGTATGGGTTTAACGCCTCAATTAACACTATTAATTAGGTTATTTAAGAGGTGGGGCCTCCGAATTTAATGTTCATCTCCCAAAGACTAAGCCATAGGGTAATTTCGAGAAAAGCGCTTTTCTCAAGGACACAACGACGGACTGAGCTAAGGCTCGAACCCCCGAACTCGCAACCTAAACTATTAGGAGTCTGGTAGCCTAACCACTAAGCTACCGAATGCCACTGTCCTCTCCCCTCTAGAACGAGGAGTAAACCCCCTTAACGAGAACCTCTGTACATTTTCATCACAGTAACTCATCATCTTCCTAATTATCTCTGACTGACTGAACATTTCACATTTGCAGACCTTGCTCTGGTTTTTTTCTTTTTGTAAATTTTCCCTTGCATTAGGTGCTTGCCTACCCTCAATAGAAAACCCAAGTAATTACTTCACTCCAACCTTTATTTATACATCCATGCCCTCACTCATGGCAAGTAATCTAAGACAATACCACAATTAACCCTGAAAGAATTTTTAAGAATCATTAACTCTTAGAAAGTTGGCCTCTTGTTACAAACATCTCTAAATCTCAGCAAGCCCAACAGATGCAGGACCCAAGGCTCACTTTTTACACACAAAATTATCTTTTTTAATCTTAACTGTTTCAAGGCATTTATTTGGAGACCCACACAAACCATGATACTAATTGTGGCAGTAGAGCGGGAAAGACTGTGGTGAGAGGGATGATGACATTAACAATAATGATGACTACCACTGAGATAAACAGTTTGTGGCAATGATGTAAAACATGATAGCATCTGTTCCTGTCACTTTGTTTTGCATTTAAGAGAAGCAAATAAGAAAAAGTGCAATAAATGAAAAGAACTGGAAAGAAGTATGTCCGTTGACTCCTTTATGCCAAGCTATAGATATGACAAGGATATGTGACCAAGCTAGTTTAGATGCGAAAGACAGCAGCAGAATTAGATGTCATCAAAGTGAAAAAAAAAAATAGCAAAAAGTCCATTGTGGAAAAATAAAATGATTAGAAAAGACAATTACCAATTGAATGTGATCTGTCGAAACTTTCACATACACTCGTGTGCCCTTGTCCCACTGGAGTGTGACTCCAAAAGGAGTACTGATGTATATCATGTCTCCTACTTCTTTCACTTCAAATGGAGAACCTGGATCTGGTTTTACTGACTGACCTGCTCATACAAGGAAAAAAATAACAAAAATTAATCACCTCTTTTAAGTCCTCCAATAAGATTTTTACCAAAACAGAACCATCATATTCAGTTATAACCAGCCCTAGTACTTCAATCAAGATATTATGATGATAGTTGAACAAAATTATTTCTAGTTTTACATTCAGACCTTGCTACATACTAGAGCTGTACCCTGGTAGCAAACCCACTCATGCTCGCAAGCCTTTAGTTCAAGCCACCAGCCTCAAATCACTAGGTCAAATCATCAAATCAAATTCCAAGCATGTTACACTTGAGTCCAGCCTAAGCTTCAAGTCAGTACACAAAACTACTAGTACTTTGTACTAGCAATCCGCGAAGCCACTCGTGTCAGGACCCCCTCATCCTCCCCACACTCTGCTTGCAATCCGCGATGCCACCTGCATCAGAAAGGGAGAGAGGGAGAGGCCCGCTCACAGCGCAGCAGGCAAGTCTCAAATCCCGCTCGCAGCACACAAGTAGCTCGTGCCCAATCACTTGCTTTGCATCCCATGTCTTGCTTTGGAACCCATGACTTGCTTTGTGCCCCATGACTTGCTCACAGCCCGCAAGCTGTCCGTGCCCCATGACTTGCTTTGCATCTCATGGTTTGCTTTGCTCACAGTGTGAACTCTGAACCGTGGAGGAAGGGAGAGGCTGTGCTTGTTTTGGTGTAATACGTACAGAGCCGAAGCTATTTTTAACTTCCTACCCTTGATCAGCTGAGCGAGTGGATGTAGTGATAAGAAGCGTGGTATTGTAGTAATAAGTAGACTTAGATTATCTTAGAATGGAAAACTCTGAGGGTCATTGTGATTGGCTTTTTTATCGTATTTATGTAGCCTATTTTGTAGATGTTTTACACTCACAATGACACAATATAAAACACTTAGGAGACAGGATTGGCCTACTTCAACCCAAAGTCAGGGACAACCTGAGCTGAGAGGGAACAACAGCCCAGCAGAAAGACAGAGGTTCTCAGTAAAAATTTCTCCCCATACGGGAATCGAACTGAGATTTTTTGTGTGTGACGACGAAGCACTTGACCTGTGCACATTTTTTTTTTTTATGACCTTTGTATAATAAGAATAGCCCATCCATTATTAATTTGTAAGTGCATTGAATAGAGCTTTTTTTTTTACAACCTGACTACGAAAAAAAACCAAACTTGCACTTTTAGTGCAAGCCTCTCAACGCAAATAACCAGAATCTTCAGTAATATGTACCGAGCCCACAGCCACGAGAGTTCGCAACGACACGACACAGTACAGCAAGCCAGTCCGCGAGTCACAACTCACCGGAAGTTCCCCCCAGTAGCTAGCGGAAGAAAAGCAAAGCACAAGCCTGCTTGCAAGCCTCTGGCGCAAGCCGTCCGCTGCTCGCAAGCCATTAATTAATCGAGCAGACTCCAGCTCTGCTACATACGTACTGTTCAGTTTAACAAGGGCAGGGAATTAAGCAAAGTTACCTTTGATGAGCTGCAGTTTGTAGAAATCTGTTGTACCCTCTTTCCCAACAATGAATTCCAGCTGCTTGAAACAGGTTACACCAGACGTTCCACACTGGCTGTTCCGTGTTGTAATGATGAAGTTATAGGGACTATCTTTTGTGGACTGCACCAGAACATAATCACAGGCTCCTTGGAATTCGTAGTGACGACCATCAAATGTGGTGTAATGTGAATCTCCATAGGCATTGCAAGTGGCTGGGCAAGAGTTCTGTGAGCAGCTCCATTTGCGAGACAAGCAAACACTGGGGGAGAAAAAAATCACTTGATAAGACAGTGCTAACAAGCACACAATAGACATGATAAACTTAACCAACATTTCCTTGTGTCCAAGCCTATGCCAAATACAAATGACATATTCTCAAAACCCGTGAAAAAGAATGGTATTATAAAATAACAGCATCAAATTTAAGTAGAAAAATGTCATGAGAAGTGAAGATAATTTATGCAAAATCAAACTGGCATAATGATGACCATTTGCAAGAGAAAAGCTAGAAGTGAACCTTGGACATAAAGACTGTTATCATTTCTCTGTATCCAAATTATTAATTACCACAAAAATGAAAATAATAGCTAATACAAAACATGCATACCATTCATTGCAATCTTGAGTGTACGACTCTCCCTCATAGTAAGACTTGCCAGCATGGCGACACGGGCACATGGTTGCATTCACACATTGGTCGCCATCTTTCACGAAACCAGGAAGGCATTCACATCCTTTTTTGCATCCATCCTGGCTACATGTTGGTGGGTTGTGCATGTTCTCGCACGTTACTGGACAATTGGATGCACAGTCTGAATACTCAGTGTTAGTGGGGCAAATTGAGGTGATCGATGTTGGCAGGACTCTTGCAGTGCTGATTTTTGAGCAGACAAACTGGCCTCCGTCACAGACACTTGAGAGGGAAGACAAATAGGATTTGTTTATAACTATTCTTTTAAACTTCAACTGTGGAAATTCACTTCTTGCACAAAACTGGCCTATTTTTCTTGGGGGGGGGGGGGGGGGGGTTGGATGAAGCCAAACACGACAAGGGTCCTGATGTCCAAACTGTCTCAATTTTTCAAAGTTCATTTCACTGTAATTTCTTAACATAGTCTATTGTAGTCTATAAAAACATCATGTAGTAAAACTCTGGGTACAGATGAGCTGAACAATTCTTGTTAATGAGAGTATAATATAAGTAAGTTAAAAATTAGTTTAAAACTTCATTTTGAGCAAATTCACTTAAAATTTCAGACAGCATTTCCACAGCACAATCTAACCTTTCAAAGCAAAAGTCAAAAACATTAAAACTTTAAAACTTTGGCCCCACTTTCCCTTTTCAATAAGAAAAATGGCAAAAGAAGCCATTTCAAGTCAAAATATGTCAAGCTATACTATAGTCAGCTCTTTTGGACCCCAGCAAGGGTCTGCAACGTGTTAGACATATTTGGTAAAAGGCGATTAAATATCATTTTGATTGGTTGGACTTGATAACCTGGAAAAACCGTCACGTCTAGTCATCATCTTTAAGCTTACAAAACTACATGCGCAATGTTTTTGATCCCGTAATCAACAAAAGGAAAATAGCATTTTCTTTCCTCTGACTTAAAATAGGAAGGAGAATTACAGTAGACAGTATTTGCCTGTCTAGCCAAGTCTGAAAGCAATCTACATACCAGATTTCAGTATCTCTTAATGTTGTGTAGCCAGCAGGGTATTCACGGTCATCAAAAATGCAAGGACACTGGGAGACGGGGATGCACTCATTTGCATCATTGAGTGTCAGCCCTACTGGACAATTGCAGCCCTCTACGCATTTCTGGTTACACAGTGGGTCATCATTTAAAGCGATATCCCTGCAAGTTCGCTCACATGGTTTGGAACAGACCTGGTACTCTTGACCATCTGTACAAGCCAGCACTGAAAAAGATAAAGGCAGAAGGAACTAAAATATTGTATCACGACACATATTTCTCTGTCTGTCCCTAACTCTCTGACTGTTCATCTGTCCCCTCCATCAACTCATCCCCCCTCCCCTACCTAAAATCTTTCTCTTCAAATTCAGTATATTTTTGGGTTGAAAAGGTAAGTATAGTTTCTATTCTCTAAAAAGGATCTCTTCTAAAAATACTAGACCTGCTCACAGAACTCAGGATTTGTTACATAGCAATATAAATCTCGGCAGTTCATTAACTTATCAACACTCAACTCAGCATAGAAAACAGGAAGTTGTTGAAGTGTGACAACTCAAGTAAACATTATGTACAGACGGTATTTCACCTGACTGCCAGCTGCTCTTTCTACTGGAGAAACATTATGTTAGCATACTTACTGCACTCAGAGATCTGCAGGCGCCAGTTAATTTTGACCCCTTTGGCAGCACAAGCATCTGCATAGCTTCCAATGTTTGGACACATGCAGTCTTTCATGTTGTCGGAGCAGGCACACAAGTCATAGACGCAATCATCATAATATGGTTGTACATCCTCAATGTTCTGACAAGCTGAAAGAAGAAAAAAAACTCATGGCTTTTGGCTACAATGAAGTAGAGTAGAATCTGTCTAAGATGCCACCCATTGTGTTGGAGAAAAGTGACCGTCTTAAACAGGTGGCTGTCTCACATAGTGTCATTGTAATCTAAAAGATACGCAAGGGAGGAAATGGGAAGTGGCCATCTCTACGGGTGACTGTCTTACACAGGCTGCGATTTGAGCAAGTTCAACAGTATTTAGATATATGATGATGATTGAATTTTGCAACTGAAATTATTTTCAAAACACAAAAAAAACTTCTCAATCTAAACTACCTTGTGTATGGAAGCAAAAAGAATCAAACTCTACAGTCAATGGTGTTAAGAGCATACAACTCCCCAACAATCATACATTGTCAACCTTTTAAACAGCAAAACTTTTACAAAGACCAGGACCTACCTTTAAAAACGTCGCTTTTCAGCTTGTCACAAAGAGCGGTGGCCTGGGCTTTCCTCTGGGAGTTGACGTCACACGGATCAGGTTCCACAGTTGTAGGCATGTCTCTGCAGGAGGTTTCTGTTTTCCATCGGTTGCCAAATGCATTGGGAATGGTCTCTACATTTCCTTGAAGAGTCTTGAAATCATTGGCTTGATTCCCATCAAATGTGCCACACATCCCAATTGTTTTTCCCATGAAGGTTGACGGAGCCTTGATATAGGCTCTAGTTCTGCCATCCCACAGAATTGTGATTCCATTACTGAGAACAGCCTTGAAATTAAGATGAAAGAAGATAAATTTAATGAGAAGTGTCGCCACACTCTTTAGTACTTAGATCCAAGAATTTAAAAGGTGCCATGTGTATTCAAATTGTTCTTACAATAATATCAGGCTAAGAATTATACAATCTTCAATGTTCTGAGCATGAGTCTTTTGTTATTGGTATTACAGACCACGGTTACAAAAAGTTATGTTAGTAAAATGGGGTAACTCAAAAATAAATTCATTTGTTTGTTTCTATCGAATGATTTTTTCTCAAAATGTTATAACGCAGTTAAACAAAACAAATAGGCGCAGCAAAAATCAATTCAGCTTCCAATATAAAGGTATTTCCCTGATATGTGGCTGTACTCTTCTTACCTGCATGAAAAGAGATGACACCATAGAGACTTTGACATCAGGTGCTTCATATGGCAGTGTTGTCACCTCACGTCCATTGATAAACAAATGGTGGTTATGATCCAGCTTGATGCTCAACCCGTTTATTTCAACACTTATAGATTTGGTGCATGAAGCCTCTCCATGTCCACATTTAATGTTGTCAGTGATGATGCTGAAGCCAGTGTCCTTCATCAGGTAGTAGGAGCAGTTGCCCATGAAATTGTAGCGTTTCCCATCAAATGTTTGGTAGTGGGGGTCACCAGTGGCTGAGCAAGTTTTGTCACAGCTTTTGCGAGTACAGTCCCAAGTCCCTGACGTGCATGTGCTGTGAGAATAAAGGAGATAATATAAACTGAATTTTGTTTCTTGAAAGAAGCATTTTTCTTACACACTTGCAAGGGGCACACGTTAGTGAACCTTTGCATGCACATTAAAATTTGGTACTTTCTATATATATATTTTTAAAGAATACAATCACAACACATAAAAAAGTTGTTTATGACCTAGTCATCTTAACAGACTTGCAGACAGAAGGACAGTCAAACAGAAACACATGCAAAAAGACAGATAAACGGATAGATGTCACCAAAAAAGTATATTATGGGGAAACAGATAAGAGATAAAATTTTAATAGGAGTATCCCATCTACATTGTGTTCATACCATGTATTGCACAGCTGTGGGATTGTAGCACCCTGCTGGTAGTCCTGTCCATTGTGCTGACAAGGGCATTGGGCAGATGGAATGCACTGTCCATTGTGAGAAACTTGTCCATCTGGACAGAAGCAGCCATCAATACAGGTGTTGTCTGAGCATACAGCATTAGTGCTGGAGCAGTCACGGACACATGGACTGCCACATTCTTTGTACACCATTCCACCTGTGCATCCAATCTCTGAAATTCAAGTATATAAAAGCAATTATCTATATTCCTCAGATAATTTGACAATTTACATCTATTTGAGCATAATTGAGAGTTTTAGAGCATCAAAGGTAGGATCATACTCAAAAAGGCTTCTGGTTTTAAACTCAAGGAAGTTATTGTTTTATTTTTTTAAATAATAATAAAGTACTCATAATATAGGGCCTACTACTATTATAATAATGATGTACACAAAGCTGTAAGCATTAAAAATTCTAAGAAACTTAATGTCTCCAGTAAATGCAAAAATAAAAACTGTAATGTCTCAAAGAATAATGAAGTACCCACTTCCCCTTTGCATCCCTTCCTTCTCTCCCCCTTTTTCTCTCTCTCATAAGAGTGTACATTTCATTTCCCTGTGACATGAAGCATACCAAGGCACAAAACGATAATCATATCTTCAACTGAGTGACAAATAAACATCTTCACTACAGGGCTTACCACAGCGACCAGACTTTCGCCAAGACAATTTCACTCCTTTGTCAGAGCAAGCTCTTGAGTAAGCCTCAAGGGCATCACAGTTGCAGGAGCCAGAACCATCACTGCAACAATCAGTCTTGCAAGAGTCGTAGTAAGGTTTTGGATCAACACTCTGGGAGAAAAGAAAGTAGTATTTTGAATGAAGGTAATAATTCACATTATCTTTTTCTTTTCCTCCCTCCCTCCATCTCCAAATCTCCTTCTCTCTCTCGTAGATGATAAAATGCTTTAAAATGAATACCTTAACATTCACAAGTGAGACCACTGAGTAGACAGTCGTATAACCATGTAGCCAGTGAAGCTTGAATTCTAAACAATGATTACAAAGTGGAGTTGCTATCATTATAATGTCAAGACGAACAAAACTTGTATGTTTATGTGTGTGTGAGATATGATTGTGAGAGGCAGGCTTATAGGAAGGTATGGGGGTTCTTTTCATGTCAGGAAGAGGAAATTAGGGGGGGGTGTAAGTACAAAATTGTGGTTGTGGGATCTGACTGCCAGAAAAATTTGAAGGGAGACATTAACCTTTTACCAAGAAGCCAAAAAGACCACTTCCATCGGTGCCCGAATACACACAAATTCTTTTCTCAAACATACGTAAGAATAATGTTTATTCTGGACCTTTCTAAATTTGGGGAGGGGGAGGGGGAGGGGAAATGTAATCTCACCTGATGGCAAGCTGTGAAGGCTACATCATTCAAAATGTCACCACATTTACTTGTTGCCTGGGCATCCCCGACGGGGCAACCTGTCCTCTGGACTGCATCAGGACAGGATTGGGCTTAAAACAAAAAGGAGTAAAGCCAGGATTAGCGTAACCCACTACATAGTCAAATTATTATTTCGATTACAGACTTTCAAAAGTATAGTATTTCGACAAATCAGATCACTCACAGAAACTATTGTACTTTAAGAATAGGGAATACAAATGTACGTAGGGGCTCTTGTGGCCTAGAGGTTAAGCCGCAGTTAAGATGTTCGCCTTTCTTTCAATTGGTCCCGGGTTCGAATCTGGTCAGCGATGGAAATTTTTCTTTTCTAAATTGTCTCCTTCAGTCGTTCTGTCGTCTACTTTCGACTCCACTTTCTGCCCCTACCCCTTCATCTCCTTTGCCCCCTCCTCTGGGCTCCTGACTCTTTCTTCAGCCTTTCTATTGCTTCTCCTTGGCTCCTTCTTACTGCTGTCTTTCAGCCACACCTCTGATCTTATAATAAGTAAGATCTACACCTAGCCTTCTCGGACAGGGGCGAAAAATCTCGGAGGTCCTGTTTGCAAGTTGCGCGATTGAAAGATCTTTTGGTTGTCCAAAATTGACAAGAGTACGCTTCGACCGCCACTCAAGCAAAATTCAAAATTTCCTACCAACTGAAAATGCTTGGTGTGTCCAGCGCGCTCATATGACCTTATGCAGTTGCGAGCGCCGTAAAACACTAACCCAAAAAAAAAACACACAAAAAAAAACTACTTCGAGCATTTAACTTTTCAGTCACTACATATTTTGTATGTTGATTGGATTGTAGAATAACAAAAATATGAGGCGCAAATATCAGCGCAAAAGGAGTAAGAATGTATTTGCACCATGTAGGCCTACATAATGTGCCAAAGCATTCATAACATATTCATCATATATATTCAAACACTCAAAGAAAATCAGAGCAAAAAAAACAGAAAAGGGATGAGAGCAAAGAGAGAGAATACTGAAAGGAAAAAAGTTGTTGTAGTGTTTATGTATGAGTGTGATTACATGTGCATGTCTGTGTGTGTGTGCGTGTGTGTGTGTGTGTGTGTGT